CGACAGTCCTGAACCTGGACACACCGGGAGTGTGTGTGTGTGTGTGTTGCTGAGTTAACAGTAGCTCTCTAATTACAGCCCGTCTCTGAGTCCAGGTGTCTCTGTGCACCTTCCACCACACTCACTCCCACATGTTTTCACTCCATGAGAACCACAGCCTACATTACCCACAGTGCACCTGGACAGACTGCTGTGAATTACCCGTAATGGACAAAAGTGCTGCTTTTAAAATGTTCAAAGACTCAAAGATCATCAGAGTGGAGGCCACAGGAGGCTTTGCAGTCAGAGACTTTTAATTTGGAAATCTCAGGACAAAGGCTCATTAACAGGATGCTAAAGAACAAAAAACAACAACACAAACTCCCACCTGAACCCAACCACCGGGCATGCTCATTAGCTGCGCTCCATCTCCGCCGTTATCAGGGCATGGCGGCCATCTTAGACTCAAACCACAGAGAGTTTCATTCACACACACACACACACACACACACACACACACACACACACACACACACACACACACCCTGCAGCTGTCCATACGTGCAGCAGAGAGGGGCGGACAGGAGGAGAAATCAAACGCACCCTCAGGCTGCAGACAGAAGCTCCTGGTCTCCTGCAGTTTGACTCCTGAAGCTGACTCCACAGTCTTCTTCTGGACTTCCGTCCTGATCATCCCCAACTCCACCTGCTTCCATCCAGCAGTCACGGAAACCTAAACTCTGAGATTCTGGGCGCCGCGTTATCGTTCGTTATTCGTTGTTGTTCTGCTGCTTTTACTGCAGTGAAGGATGTGAACACTTCCTGACATCTCCAGATGTTTCTGAGCCATCAGCAGAACTACAGGCAACATGTCTGCCCTCAGGGAAGACTTCTCAGGTTTTTCCCAGTAATGGGAACCAAATCCCAGAGTTAGACCATTAAAGACCAGAGAATCAATGAGCTGTACAAGCTCTAGAAACATTCATGAAACCTCCACAAGATGGATCCGCACACTGCTGCCCAACAGCAGTCAAACAGCAGCACCGCCCACAGCGACTTGTTAAAAAGGATTTATACATCAGATATAAAGTCGTGCTGATTCAGCTGGAACTTGATTCTTTGTCCTGAAGAACTCCTGATGAGCGTTACAGTATGGGACTGATGGACACGCCCACTGACAGCAGAAGAACCGCCCCAAAACGTTGGTTCTGTTCACCTGGACGTCTTCAGTGTGAGGATCAGTCATCGACAGGTGACTCCTTCGGTTTCAGCTGACTGCAGGTTTCAGTCTTATGAACAGCAGCAGCACTGACTGCACACAGGCTGTGAGGTCAGTTTATGATCAAAGACCTCTGATCAATGAGTCTTGTTCACAGAGAGGTGGGAATGGCTGCAATCACAGCATTGTGAGATGGTGACAGATGGACCCTTAGGCCCCTCCTCCATTCAGATATGGTCTTTCCCTTTTCACGTAAATGGCCTCCTTGACTCCACCCTCAAACCAGCGTTCCTCACATCCTCATCCTTGAAAGTGTCCCACGCTGTGTCCACTGGCCTGTAGGTGTAAACAGACTGCAGAGTCCTGGCCTGACGAGGTGGCTCTTCTGTGTTGTACCATCCTCTTCGCCAGAGGTTGTTTGGTTTCCCCGATTATAAATCCTGCCAATCCTCCTGCACTTAACAGCGCTGTGGAGAGCATCCTCACACAGAACATGACATCGTGGTTTGGGAACAGCTTGGGAACAGTGAAGGACCAAAAAGCTCTCCAGAGAGTGATC